AGCAATCCTCCCAAAATCATTCCTGGAGGCAAGTATTATACTGATACCAAAACCAGGGAAAGATACAACTAAAAAAGAGAACTACAGGCCAATCTCCCCTATGAACATAGATGCAAAAATTCTCAATAAAATTCTAGCAAATAGAATTAATATTCTTTTAATAAGAATTAAATAATTCTATAAATAATACAAATGTGCTATCAGAAATTTTCTTTTTAACAGGGACTGTGTAAGGTAAGTCAAAGAGGCTCGCTGAAGCCAATGCTACGCAGGACCATCATATCATAAATACTGTTAGCATGATGTTTGGATCACCGAAGGGTTTGCTTTGGCTGAACTGGCGCTCAGATGATGATTGAGGGCTTCCTGGATTACATTATTCCAACTTTGAAACCTGAACTCTTAAAACCTGATGTGGGAATCACTGTGCTTCTATGGTAATTCATAAGCTCAGTAAAACCCTACAAATGCTATTTTTCTTATCATCTCAGTTTTACGGACAAGTAGAAAGAGTGAATCTTACCCTAAAAAATTCCTTGGCTAAATTAAGCCACTGGTTTCCATAAAAGTTAAGGTTAAGTTCTATACAAGTTAAGCTTGAGTTCGATTCCCAGTAGCAAAAAAACAGTTAAGGTGAACTGCTTCCAGTAAGCACGGCTTTCCCCTCTGAATTAGTGTTCGCAAATGCTGTGCATTTGAGCCTCGATTCTTTTTTTCCTCCATAATTTTATTGATAAACAAATAGCAATGAGACATTGTAAATGAAATTTACAATGAAATTGCATTGAAATTGTACCAATTTCAAATCAAATTGGTACAACAGTTTCAATAATTAACATATTGCATACATTCTTCCTAGTGGTTAATTGCTGTACAAGATGCGGACATGATATCCTATTTACAAACATCATTAGAACAAATCACTCTATTCATTAAGAGAATGTAGCTATATATCTATCTAACCACTTTGAATACACAGAGCCTCGCTTCTTATCAGACACATGAAAACATGCAAAGGGTTTATTTTCTTCCCTAGACTCATTACACCACCGTGTGGCAAAGTCGTGGAATAACATCTCCAGCCCTGGGAAAGCGCCTCGCTAGAAGACCGCATCCATATAAAAGTTTTCCGGTGACCAGCTGGATTGTCGCTGCTGAAAAGGCTGCTGCGGGTCTCGCTGACAAGTCACACTGCTGTCAGACTGAAAGGGCAGTAAGTCAGCGCACGGGATGCACATATGAGACCAGCATTCGTGACTAATGGGCTGCAGCTCCCTCTGCGGTCTCTAGGCAGTAACGGGAACCAGGTGCAAGATGAAGAAAAAAGAATTCTAAACAGACCGACAACAGGATCAGGGACTGTTGCGTCTTTCTTTAGTTACCCCAACCAATAAAATTTTAATATTTTTGTACCAGTTAAAGTGGCAGCTTATCGTTTTAAAAATGAGTTTCTTGTCATAGGGAATTGCATACTGACCATGAATTTTTCTGAATACAGAAGAAAAGCTTCAGAAACCCTTTTACCTGTCTATAAGGCTTCAGATTCAGTGACTGGGAGGCCTAAATGTAAAAAAGAAGGAAAGGGGGGGAAGGGGAGGAGGAGGGAAGGGGGAGGGGAGGGGAAGGGGGAAAGGGGAGGGAAGGGAGGAGCGAGGAAGGGGGATTGGAGGGGGAGGGGGAAGAAAGAAAGAAGAAAAAGAAAAATTTCAAATCTTCCACAGACAGAAATCTGCATCACCCACATATTAGATGATATAATGTGAAACATCACCTACCATTAGATTCCTCAATAACTGGAAGGAGCTGTTCATTAGCCAAACTGATCATAATTACACTCACATTATATTGCACAAGAGCCAGTTGCTCATTATCTTCCATAGCTGTCAGGGCCTGATTAACAAAACGAAAGTATGATATAAAGATGGGGAAAAAATCCAAGCCCCACTAGTAGGACTGGTTTCTCAAAAAAAAATCTGAAATATCTTGTTCCATGGAATGAATCCATCTTGTTTAGAAGCAGGCAATCCATAATTAAGGTCCCTAGGAGAATTAAATGAACTACATTTCTTAATACCACTGCCGCTCATGAGTTCATTTCACTTATACATTTTTTTTTTTACATTTAAAACCTCTGCAATTAGTTTATTAGTATCATCCAGGACTCAGATGTTCAGTATTCCTCTTGAAGTTACATAAACAAATGCAAATGGAAAGAATCCGAGTTAAAATTATATAACAAAACAGCACTCCATCACAAAAGCGTATTAAATCACAAGAACCCTATTTTAATTTCTTTTTTGAAACTGTCTCATTGGTTTTTATTTCTTAATAAAATAAAAAAGCAATAAAATGACTTGGGCTGTATCTCAGTATAAAGGAGATATATATTTACATATATTTTTCTATTGATTTTCATTGGCTCATTGCTTCACTTTTTATTTCTATAAAATATATGTAACATGAAATTTACCATTCTATTCAAGCTTTCCTTTTGGCACTGTCTCTTGGTGTGATTTCTTCTCCTACTTTTTATTTCTTCAGACTATCAATCCTGTTTTCTTTTAGACTCTCTCATGACAGGATTTGTCTGAATATTTTATTCTGATTAGGCTCAAATTAATTATTCTTGGCAAGCAGATAGCACCATCATGCCGTGCTTCCCTAGCTAATCCCAGGCGCTTACACTCTTATAGGTGTTCGCCTCGTTGGTGACGAGGCTACGAGGGAGCTCCTGGTTATGTGTGAGGAAAAGTTTTCTTCTGCGTACTTAATGGAAGAAGTCGATGAGGTGAGGGGACGGCAGCAGGGTGGCCTCTGCCTAGGGGTGAGCTGGGCCACGTCCGGAAAGAAGCGGTGGCGGAGTCGCTCGGCTGGCCCTGTCCTCTGCTTCCTGCGGCGCACGTGAAGGATGCATCCGCAGCTGGTTGTTGCTGCACCCCGTATTCTGGGACGGGACGACCGTGCAGCCACTCTTGGCGCTGCCCTGAGCCCAGGGAGGCTGCGGACATAATACAGGAAGGGGAGGAGGAACGGAAGCTTGAAGAACCCTATTTTAAAACACTGGCATTTTAAGAGTGATAATCTCAAAGCCCACAAAATAGCAAATTTTTCCTTAAACTGCTAAGCAGACAAACATGACTCTAATGAAAGTTTTGTAAAGGAAAACTCGAATAAATTGGGTAATTCATACTTAAGATGTGAAACTCACTTTTTTTTCTGTCTAAATGGGAGACCCCAATATAGAAAAATCTATCCTTTTCTAATTTGTGGCCTAACTTTAAAATTTTTAGGACTCAAGTTTCCTGAGCAGTGCATATTGAGATAAATGGTTAAAGGCATATACAGCCTACACTTTTGGCTTTCTTCTTGTTCTGGTCTGAGTATCGCCCAAAAATCAAAGAGAACATCCTGCCCTCTCCATTGGTGATGTTGCAAAGAAACTTGGAGAAATGTGGAATAATACGGCAGCAGATGACAAGCAGCCATACGAGCAGAAGGCATTTCACTTGTACACAATGGACTTTATCATTATGGAGAATTTTTTCAAAAGAATCTAGTTTAAAAATGACTATCCCACATCATAATATTAGTAGTTATACTGACCTTACTCTCACATTCTATTTTTTTTTTTAAATAATTCTTTATCAGGCATACTCTGTTGCTCTATTCTTCAAATTATTTTTGAAGGATGGATTTAAAAAGGATGACTAACTCATACATATGGAATCTGGAGGTTGGTATTGCAAATGGAAAATGCTGACAACTGAACCAACAGCACACACGTGACTAAAGGATGTCTGCTCTAGGCGCTGACGTGGAGCAAATACGCTCTCGTGCAAATGACAAGCACATAGACAAGCACCCCAACTCAGACATTACCTCTGATACTGACAGGAGGGACGGGGCCAGCCAAGCAGATTTCTCCCATGATCTGAAACAAACTTAGCCCAGTTTCTCATACATCAATCATTTTATATGTAGCCTCAAATCATAAAATTTTAGTTGGTAGGATATTTGTGTCTTATATTGGAAACACTATTTGAGAAGATGGAGCTATTTTATAGGTACTGATTTCACTTTTAATATAACCTACATAATTGATTAAATTTATAAGAAATTTATTGGACCATGCAAAAAAATTTTCTTTTTTCTTTCTTTTTTATTGGTTGTAGGAATTGAACTTATAACCTTGCCACTGATCTATATCCCCAACTCTTTTCTTTTGAAGAGAATTTTTTTTGTACTTTTCTTTTTCTTTCCCTTCTTCTTTTTTTTTTTTTTTTTTTTTTTTAACTTTCTGTATTTTAGGACAGGGTCTACAGGGTCTCATTATGTAGCTCAGACTCGTAGCGATCCTCCCAAGTGCTGGGATTACAGGCTTGCACAACCATGCCCAGTCTCAATCGCCCTCTCAGTGTGCCCTGGGAGCGGGGCCAGCACCGCAAGCCGGGGAGCAAACCTGGCCGCTGCATCCGCCTAAGCAGGCGCTTTAATCCACTGAGCTATTTGGCTGACGCTTGAAGAGAATTTTTAAAACAATAAAAATGATACAGAATTTCAATGACAGGAAATTAAAGATGGTTGTTATACTGCATATTATTGTCCACATAGTTGCTCAGGTTACCAGACATAGGCATGGAAAATTGATCAATTATTAACTGTTCTTTTCAATAAACTAACAGATATTAATAATACAATTATCTTAGCTACCTTGTGCATATATGTATATTTCTTTTTTAATTTTCAGAGAGAATAAAAATAATGAAAAACATTAGAAATGACACAGAATGCCACTAAACAAGATTATAGGAATGCAACAATGGTTATTGTATTGTACACTGTTGTCTTCAAATTAGTTGTTCAGAATATATATATTTTTTTCCTTTCTTTTTTTCTCCTTTTTTCCATTCCACTTGTTCTGTCCTTTTGAGCAGTTTCTTTTTCACAGTATCTATGGTACCTTTTGGATTTTATTTACTCTTTCAGTTTCTTACACTAGGGAAACAACATAATGTTTACACATGCAGGTTTGATTTATTTCACTTAATGAGTCTTGTCTCTAGTTGACTCCATTTACCTATAAAAGCCTCAAGTTTATCTTTCTTTATAGCTGAGTAACACTCCACTGTGTACAAATACCACTTGTTCTTTATCCATTTCTCAGCTGATGGGCATTTGGGTTGTTTCCAAGATCTAGCTACAATGAATTGAGCTGCTATAAACCTGGGTGCACACATATCACTGTGCTGTGATGTTTCCAGTTTTTTTGGAAAAATATCTAGAAGGGGAAGAGCTGGGTTGAATGGAACCTCTACTTCTAGTTTTTTGAGGAATCTCTACACTACTTTCCACAATGGTTTTACCAGGCCACACTCCCACCAACAGTAAAGAGACATTCCTTTCTCCCCACACCCCTGCCAGCATTTGTTATTAGTTGATTTTTTTTATGATAGTCATTCTTTCTGGAGTGAGATGGAATCTCAGTGTTGCTTTAATTTGCATTTTAAATGACAAAATGTCATTTTTTTTAAACGGCCAAGTGTCATTTTTAAATGAAATTTTTTCATATATTTATTTGCCATTGGTATTTCTTCAGATGAGATGTATTCATCACAGATGCACATTTTTATTGGATCTTTAAACTCTGAGGGGCTGATTTTCTTAAATTGTTTATAAGCCCTAGATAGAAATCCTTTGTCTGAGGAGCCGTTGGCTAAAATATTTTCCAAATCCTGGGCTTTCTTTTTACTCTGTTGATTTCTTTTGATATGCAAAACTTTTTCATAAGATGAGATCACAGTTGTTGATTGAAGAATTTCTCATGCAGATTTTTTTTTCAAGAACTCTTTGTCTACCCCTATGTCTTCAAGATTTCTACTGGCTTACTCTCTCAGTAATTTAGTGTTTCTGTTTTAATATTTAATTCATTTTGACTTTAGCTTAGTTCACAGTTATAGACATGGGCCTAATTTTGGCCTTTGGCATGCGGAAAGCCAGCTTTTCTAGCACCATTTGTTAATCTTTCTTCCAGTGAACATATTTAGCCCCTTTGTCAAAGGTGGGTGAGTGTCATTTTTAATTGTGTCTGCCTCTTCTAATCTGTTCCATTGATCCTCAGGTCTGGGTTTGTTGTTGTTTTGTGGGGGGGGTTGGGTTTTTTTTGTTTTGTTTTGTTTTGCTTTTCCCAGCACCATGCTGATTTGATCACGGTAGCTTTGTAGTATAATTTCAGGTCAGGGATTATGATACTTCCTGCCTTTCCTTTGTTGCCCAGGACTGCCTTTTCTACTCTAGGAATCTTTGGGTTCCATGTGAATTTGAGGAATTCTTTCTCTAGATCTGTGAGGCATGCTAATGGTATTTTGCTTGGGATTGCATTGACTCTGCATAACTGTTTAGGGAATATAGCCATTTTCACAATGTTGGTTCTTCCTATCCAGGAGCAAGGAATACCTTTCCATTTTCTAAAATTCTCTTCAATTCTTTTCTTTTCTTTTTTTTTTTTTTTTGTTAGAGTACTGGATTTTTCAATGTATAGATCTTTTACTTCCTTTGTTAGATTGATTCATAGTTGTTTCTTCTTTTTTTTGCATGCTATTATAAAATATGTGCTTTCCATAATGTCTCTCTTAGTATGTTTGGTGTATGTATACAGGAATGCTATAGATTTTGAAGAGTTGACTTTGTATCACTCTATACTACTGAATTTGATTATTAAATGTGGAAGTCTTTTGGTGGAGTTTTAGGAGTTCTTCTATGTAGAGTATCACATCATCTGTGAACAGCGATAATTTAACTTCTTTCTTTCCTATCCTTACTTCATTTATTTCTCTCTTTTTCTAATTGTTCTGGCTAATGTTTCCAGAACTATATTGAAA